GCTATTTTAGCTTAGAGGAAAAAAAGTCCTTTTCTTCACTCAAGATTTTTTTTTGTGCTCATATGCACATAAGTTACTGCCACAAAAAAGTACTCGTTTTTTTGGGTTGGGTTGGAATTTGGATGAGAAAATTTAGAGTCATTTAGGATGTTGAAAATTTGTCGAGACTTTTTGTAAATTTGCTTGGAAATGTGAACAATTGAGTAGATTTTATTTGGTAATGGAAAGGATTTTTTGAGTATATTTAACATACATTGAGGGTTATTGCTGTACATGCCTTTATGTAGAGCTCAAATAAAATGGAACTCTCTTGACGTGACTGCAAATAAATCAAAAACTGCCTTAATATATCTAATCCACTGAAATTTCATTACATTAAAAGCTAACCTTTGATCTTATCAAGCCAAAGATCATCTTTGAAGTTCCTTTCATCCCAAGGGACATTAAAAAACTTTATTATCCCAACAGGATACTCATTAAATTATTTTCAAAAAAATCTGTTGCATGCCATACAATACAAAAAGATCCCACAAAAATCAACTCACACTCAATAATCTTGACTTCTCAACACAACAGTCATGGCTGTTAAAAATTCAACAACAACTTTAAAGCTTTAAATGACATTTCACAACAGCCTTTGTGTCGTTTGGAAGAAACTTCCTCTCTCAACTCGAATGCCAAGTTTTTCATAATGAAAATTATGATGTCATAAATAAGCGTAAGTGCCTAAGCCTTTTTCTCCATTCACAATTTTTTCTTTCTCGTTCTCTTTTTTCTTTCCGTTTACAAAGTCTCATTTGTCAGCAGTTAACTTCCGATTATATCGTATATAATGAAGACATATAAAAACATGAAACTTAGCCTGCTGATTATGATTCTGAGCGGAAGCATTAAACATACGGAATAAAGAAAAAAATGTAAGGAGAGATTGAAAAGAATGTAAAGTTAAGGATTCGTGTTAAGGACGATGAGGAAAGCTTGATTGTTGTGTTTATGAGCATTGCCAATGACTATTTGGGTGGTTGAAAGTTGAGGTTATGTTAATTTTGACTTGATTTTTAGTAGGAACTCTAGGAACTAAACCTTGAGTTCTATAGCTACCTCAAATCTCTTGCCATATGTACAGAACTATTAACCTTTTATATATAAGTTTAAACAGGATATTTATTTAACTCTAGCTTACATAATCCCAAATTAAATCCACAATATGCGCCTAATCCGCACTCTAACCTCAAAATAATTTCAAAAAATATTACTTCTGCTTTTTCTTACGTTTTTACATTGCGCCATTATATTTTGTGTGTATGTTGGTATTTACTCATATACATAAAGATCCGCTCATTCCTTTTGTCATGCTCAAGTCATTTTAAAATTTATGACTACAACAGGCGCCCATTTTGTTTGTATTTAATTTTGCGCGAGAAAAAAAAAAGTTTTGTGGAAGGACGGAGATGGGAAATGAACGAAAGAAAAATACATTAAAGTTTACAAAGAACGTAAATTAGTAGCACTAAAGTGCCTCATTATGATGAAATAAAAAGCATAAAAGGGGTGGCGAATGGCAAGATGAAGATGAAAAGTTGCTCGATCCAGGATTGCAATAAAGCAATTAAAAAATTTTTATTTCACTTTTAATGTTCATTTTTTTCTCATCATTTTTGTTCATTGAAAATATTATTTTCTTCGAAGCTAGTTTGAGTGTATAATGAGAAAGATTGATGCTGTTCTATGACTCGTGCAAAAAGAGGGATGGATTCTGAGAGTGAATGTGCAAAAATTTAATTTTTTTTCGGAGCTATGTAAATGAGTCCATTTAATACCACAGCTTACAGTTTCAATTTTATTTAAATTGCGCTCTTTATTATTCATTTTGGGTGGGAGACTGAGCTACTAGTTAAATAAACAAATCAATTCCGACTCAATGTTCGATATGAATATGTAAATTTACATAAACAAGTTTCATTTCCCAAATTGTAAACAATCCTAACCTTGAACAACAGTTTTGTTTGTGATATTTTGCGTTTTTCAATATTTGATCTGTTCAAATATTTGTATATCAATTTTTGCTATCTTTTTTATGAGTTTGAAATTATTTTATGATTAAATATTTATAAATTGACTTTAGAAATTCCAGAAAACTTTTTGAAGTGGCCATTTTTTTAAATGCTTATATGGACATAGCTCAGAAGAGAATAGCAATCTAGATGTTAATAAATAGCTTCAGTCATCGCTTACAAGCGCATTATTCAGTCAACAAAGCTCTCATCACAAACTTCCTCTGTAAGCTTGCCGTTTTATTATCAGTTGCAATTAATTTTTTTTTTCATTCTCCTTCCTCTCATTTTTAATTATAATTACACAAAAGCTCACTCATAACGATGGATTTTCCTAAAAATAAAATGTGCCTTTCCGTAGACTCAGTAGCCCTTTTTTTTATTTATGGTATGTAAGGTGCTGTATAACGACAGTAACAAACTTTCCTATTAATTTTCTGTCGAAAAAGTTTTTAATTTACTGTGTGTCGCACTTACAACAAACCCCGTAATTCTTTTCATACGATAATTTTTTTATATACTAAGTTGATTTCATTTAATGTACTGAAAATATTTTTATGACTCTTTATGTTCAGTAATACCGTTTCATACACACAGCAAGTGGCACTAGAGAATGAATGAGAGATAGAGAAAGACATTCTTCTAAATTATTTCCGCCACTATGAGCTTTCAGATGAGTAAACTTTTATCACTTTTTATGGTCTTTCATAATTCACATTTTTGTGTGATATTAATTATGGGAGTGAGTAAGATGATGTGTCATTTTGTCTGGAGCTTTGAGGATTTTTTTATTTTTCTTAAATGCAATAAAACTATTTTTAAAAATTTAATTAACACCCCTTTTTAGTGGCGTAGCAAGGGCTTCAAAATTTGCGACCCTACAATTCAATTTAACACCCCTTAGTATGGGATTTTTGATCCTTTTTTTGAGGGCCAGGCTCCAAACTTAACCCCTTCCTTCCTCTACTCGTGTCATAACTTAGAATTCTGATAGCTAGTTGAGTTAGACAATATTCAAGCCTCGCTAGTGAAATGCGCCTTGCAAACTTCACCATCTGAAATTTCCTAACTTGCTTTACTTCCTCACACCCCCACTCTTTTCAGGATAATATGACTATTTTCTCACAAACACAGCACACCGTTTTGTGTCTCTTCCACATCATTCCTTTCCTGTCTCTCTCTTATTTTTGGTGAGGATGAAAAAAAATGTATAATTTTACAAATTAGATTTATGATAATTGAATTCATGAGGATTTAATTTAATTTATCTTCACTGCTTGAATCTCTGTCATTTTTTTAAATTTCCATTTTCGCTTTATTCATTAGTAAAAGCAGTAGATAAATGCAATCAATTTTATTTTAAAAATTATATCTCAAAGACTTATTTTTCTCATCCATTTAACAGCCATTCATTGTGATGAAATTATAAATTGAGAAAGTTTTTCAATTTTTAATAACATTATCTTGGATGGGAAAGGCTTGAAAGGGGTTGAGTGGATGTTTTTGAGAATTGATTTTTTTTTTATGTGTGAGTTTGAGTTGCTGAGGCTGAGATTCTCTTTCTGGCTAGAAAATGATCTTGTCGTGACTTAATTTCCAAGAAGCTTTAAAACTTTTGGTTGCTAAGCAAGCTTTATTTAAAAAAACTTGATAAATTCAATTCAATATAATCCTCGGAAGTGCTTTACTAATTCTCTATATTCACATTATAGACTAAGTTTCTTTTATCAAGAAATTTGAATTATTTTGAATTACTTTAATAAAAACTTTAAATAAACTTTGAAAGTCAAAAAGGAAACAATCTTGAATACTTAAGGAAATAAATCACATTTTCATCATAATCTATTTGACTCTAAACTATTGTTGATTGCTAGGAATAAATCTTCACAATGTCAGAAATTAAAAATATTTTGAAGAATTCTTCATTAATTTGTTCTGTCTATAAAAGTTCTCAGTCCTAGGTTTAACTACCGAGTACCTGTAACCTCTATAAATTAAAGTCAGAACCTCTATAACTTCAACATTACACGTGTATGGCATGAAAGACTTTATTGTCATGTGATATTTAAGTCAATTGTTTGTTGAGCAAAGTATCTTAGGATTTTCAAAAAAGTGCTCGATTTATCCGCACGTGGAGCTCAAAAGTAAGTCTAATTCAAATTTGAAACATTTACTTGTTCCTTATAGAAAATTATTAACTTCAACTTTTATCTCAACAATTTTTCCTACATAAATTTAATCAAAAAGTTCTCAAACTTTTCCAAAGGGCCAATATATCCATTACCATAGCAATAACTCGGCATGATTTATTCAAAATTTAACGGCGTATTCTTCCACATAAAAATGACATCATTTCAGTAACCAGAACTCAAATTTAAATGATTTATTGGAATCAAGGTAGCTATTTAGAAATTTAATTTCCAACCTGAGAATGACTGCTGTAAAATTTATTATAATCAGATGTAGATACCGGCTACATTTATGATGGAATGATTTAATAAAGAGTTGTTTGGATGAGTTATAGGACTTTTTAATACATACGTAGAATGTAATGTGTGTCAAGTACTAATAGGAAATGAAGTTAAAATTTTTCATTTAAAAATGCTCATGCTTTCATTTCCATCTTCACAAATCCATCGACATAACCCATATTGATCCATATCCATTTTGCTGATTCATTCAGATGTATTTATTAGCATGCATATGAATGATGATCATAAAAAGAACTGATATAAGCATGAAAAAAATTGAATTCACTCGAGAGTAGAGATGCAATTTAGATGCAAAAATGGATACAAAAAGAGAAAGAGGATAAAAGGAAATTTCTTCATTCCCGATAATATTCATTTGAAGTCTTATGCTGTCATATCTGATTATATGAAGCAATTTATTTCTGCATTATTTCCGTCCATATTCCTAATATGAAATCCATCTTTATGAGATATTATTCATTTTTTCCTACATTTATTCAATGTCATTGCCAATGCTTATCAATCTTATTGTCTAGATATAAAAAAGTTAGACTTGAAAATTTCCAGGGGGATGCAAGCTGTAGACAAGATTGTGAGAGCATTGGTCAAACGAATATCTTGTGAAGTATTCAGGACCAAAAGCATCTCATACCATATCCCCAAGTTGCATACCTCCATACTCATTTGAACTAAACATATCCTATCATTATCATCATCATTCTTATTCATCTCACACTTTAGCTCCAGCATTATTATTTGTTGTGCCATTGACACTATAATCAGTCGGTGATGCCATCATTTCCATCATCTCACCATCTATATTATCACGTCACATAAATACATCACCCATTAGTGGTGGTGGTGGCTGTATATTTTTCCTTGACGGCGTTGCTGGCACTCCGTGTGGACACTTCGTAAGTGTCGATGATTCATCTTCGAATGTCACCATTTTTTCACGTGGCTTCTGTATCGTCAATAGTGTCGTTTGTGTCATGGGTGTGATGGGAACAATTGTCTGTTGGATACGTTTCGGGGGCGGTGGAAGTGCCAAATCACCGACACCACTTAAATTAAATTCACTTACACTACGTGGAACAAAGTATTCCATTTGACTCTCGAGAATACCCGCTGATCGTCTTGCTGGAGTATTACGATGAAAGCCTGTCTGACTTCCACGTGGTGTTCGCGGTAATGAGTTGTAATCAGTTAGTAGTAAGTCGTTTGGTCGGTGTCAGGACTTTATTGGCGTTATTGTAACATTTGCTAATGTAATTTCATCATCATGTGACTGCTCATTGATTGTAAATTTTCTGATCATAATGATTAGTTCTGTTTGTATAAGACTGAAGCACATCGCAACAATAGCCATACCAACAATAATATAAACACTGGCAACATACATCCCTAGTTCATCCTTTGGCTGTAGTTCGCCAAAACCAATTGTACTTAGTGCTGTAAAACAAAAATATATACTATCGAGTACGTTCCACTTTTGAAGTTCATGAAAAAGAACAGCACCGCTTGTGACATAGCATATGAGTATCATTATACAAATCGATATTGGCACAACTGATTGTTTTTGTTTCTTATGATGGCTACCGCTCGTTATACTGAAACTATTTGATAAATAATTGTTATTGTAACTCCCACCATTGCCACTACTAGGATTATGGAAATGTTGTTGCTGTATACTACTACCGCTGTGATTCCATCCAGCATATTGACGCTTCTCACTTTCTATTATTTTACTTTTATTATTATTTGTCGTCTCACCAAGTATATTATTAGATGTGGACGATGATGGTGTTGTGGTTGATGATGATGTGCTATTCGTATTCGATGAGGACGATGAGTTACTCTTTGACGATGTTGCACGTAAGCGCTTAAAAACACATCGCATTGCGCTTGATAGTCCTTCACCCATTGTTGAGAGGTAAAGTAGAATTATTGGGATTCCGAAGACTGCATAAATGAGTGCAGCTGTAAAGAGATAAACAGAAAATGCAATTAAAAATGAGCAAAATGAGAAAAAGTTATTAGTTCAATGAGTTTATTCACCTATACGACCCCATTGACTTCGTGGTGTCATGCCACCGTAACCTGCAAAGCGTAAAAAGAACGAGAGAAAGATTTTAATTAATATTTAATCGAATTTTTAACACTAATGATTCTAATGTCAAATGTTTCATTTTATTTCGATTGGCTGCTGTATGTTGAATGGTAATACAGCCATTTCAAATGCTGAAATGAAACAGGAATACCACAAAAGTCATTATTTGCTATTTCCATTTATATTCGAGAGAGTAAAAAAAATATATATATGGGAAAGTAGAAGTGCTAGGGATGTTGTGAAGTGTAAGGAACGAATTTTTTTGTGGATCATAGTTTTGCATGAAGGTTGATTTGATGTTACTTAATGCTTCTTACGATTCTTGGTTGAATGATATCTGAATGATTACTCATGCGATAGTCTAGTATGTGAAGCAGCCAGAATTTTTAAATGTGGAGAGTTCTTAAGATGTCTGTGCGCGCCGTTCAGACAATTCTGTCATTGCTACTTGAGGCATTTTAAACCCTCAAAACAACCATTTAAATCCTTCTTATACTAAGATGATTATATTAATCTGAATATCCAATTTACTTGCGATGGAAAGCACAGTAGAAAGCAAATCTCATTAAACTACAAATGAGTAGCTGCCTGCAAGACAGACATCCATACAAACTAGTCAACTAATCCTCTTTGCTCCACATTCAATTCTTAACACAAATACTCTGGATACATAGTTTCTGATCCAATTTCGTGATTAATTAACTGTCAATAAATTAGTGTTTGACTTTCTTGCTTTCCTTTTGTTCTATTTCCCATTCTATTTTTTACATCCACAATACCATCCCAGTTTGTTTTGTATGTATCGGAAAAATTATGTAACTTACATTGTTACTTTAGATTTCGTATTGTTAATGAAAATTATTTGTTTTACATTCCATTTGTGGATGCTGACGAGGAATTTAGAAAACAATAGCGAAACAATTCAATATAAGATGAATAAAGCATCAATTATGATGAATTTGATATTACAGTTAATTGGAAAGAATTTTATTACAAAAGAATTTAATTAATGAAATTTTATTTCAATAAAATGAAGATTGAGATCGAAGAAGAAGGAATTGGTTGATGATTAATTTAGATAGAATGAGAACAAAGCTGAATAAAGAATAGGCAAATTTTCTGTTTCAACAAAAATGCCATCGGCATTGAATTTCTTATCTCAAAAATTTGAGAATCTTTTTCTTCTTTTTATTAAACTTTATTGTGTGCTTTTTGAATTGCGGCAATTCTGTTATGAATCAATTCTATTTTTATGTCTGGTTCTTTGATAAATTATGAATGAGTTTATGTAAAAAACGCAAGAAAACAAGCTCAGCAAGAGATTTATTTTTAGTTTTTTTTAAGATAGAAAATTTCATGGAATTTTATTGTTTGCTTCGAGGTTTTGAATAACAGTCTGATAGCTACCTTTGAGGAGAAGTCAATAATAAAGACTGTTTGGGTTTGATACACTTTAAACTGCTTTAAACAAAGAATTGTTTATAAGAGTTTAAAACAAATTAGGAAACTGGTTAAGTGCTTCATTAGCTGTTCCTACGGCACACTAGGGTAATTCTTGGATTTCTAGTTTTATAGTAAGTTACTTTCATTTCATAAATTGAACTTTTCCCAATATCTCATATTTATAATCAAAGCTCTTAAGTTGTTTCAAAACATAACCTATAAATATTAACTTTCAAAAGTCAATAGCTACAAGAATTATTAATTCTTCGAATCTTTTTCAAATGAATATATAAAATCTCGTAGAAATGTCGACATTTAATAGAAACATTAATAAATATCTCAATTTAGTCTCATTCATATCTATAGTTGCTTTTATTTCTTACTTCTTCTGACATTCTCATTGTTAGAAAAAAATTGGTTAAAAATGCATTGAAATCGAATAGCATCATAAAAACTAATAATAACAGAAAAAAAGCACTGAGCAGAATCATGAACATCCACTACTGGATACGAATGACTGCATGAAGTAGCAGTAGAAGCATAAAAATCATTGAAAAACACTAACATTCAGGGTGGATATGAAATTTCATTTTATTGACATATAAATGAATATAAAAGCTTCACATATTGAATGGTATTTATGCAACATAAATATCACCTCCTCGTATGCAAATGACATGATGATGATGACGGGCGGAATGAAGTAAGATATACATGCATATATGCAAGTCTGGTTAATTAAAGTATCAAATTTCATACTCGAATAATGATGATGATTGAGAGGTTCATGTTGTGGATGGTGCTTTAAAATTTATGTGCTTGTGGATATGGAACCTTTGTGCATTTTATTCTCAACATGCATGATCATGGCTGAATTTGATGGAAAAATGACCGATGGATGATGCTTTTGCTATTCAAAAATATTATAAAATTATATCAGTTGTAAGGCAGCAAAGATCGAACGTATTATCTTATTTAACCTTCATGTCTCTCTATCAGTCGTTTTCAACTTCTTCTACATATACAAAAAACCTCAATATTACAGCGTATCACGCACAAATAGATTCACATTAAAGCGTACATGAACATCTGGTTAAGGCAAGATGGCATTAAAGACATGATATAAACAAAAAGAAAATTTCTTTAAATTCATCATTAAATTTTCAACATTAAGTATATTAAAATTTTTCATAGCGTGATTTTCAAGATCGCACATTTCGGTTCCTCATTTTGGATGGAAATTTATAAATTTTTGCGAGTAGATTTTGTTATGTTATGAATTGAGTGTTGTCATTGCTGCTGTAGAGGTAGTATTTTGCTTATTATTAAAATAATGAATAAATTTAAATTTTAATCAAAAATGAGCTACACAATCCGACAGTGTCAGTTGTAAGTCTGTGCACTCTAGTCGTAATGTTCGAATCCTTATCATAACTATAGTATTCAATTATTGAGAGATTCAGATTATGATGGTTTGGGAATCAAACCCAAGTCCTCATTAAAGTTTATATTAGATATATACAGTCTGTTATGTTACCGGTCACAGATATCTTAACCTTGCACTGGCAGATTCGCTTACATATGAGCAATCCTCTATATTCCACTCTTATAATTTGACCAGCATTCAAAATTGCAATTTCCCAAATTTTTTTTAAACACCTCCAATCGAAAAACTCTTTTACATTCAATCACACCCTATCTAACCTATAAAATATACAGTCTCATGTCAAATCCTATTTCCCAACACATTAACAATTCCCAAATCCTTTATCATCGACTATAAAACTCTAAATCGCACATTAAATGCGTACTCATTCTTGTTTATAAATTGTTTTAAATTTCCGTCTGCATTTCCTTCTTTATTTTAGTCTATAAATCACCACATCACACCATACGAGCTGCAAAGTCTTCAATATAATAAATTTCAATAATGTTTTTCTTCTCGGTGTAATCTCTTTTCCGAAAAATCTTTGCATAAATTATGTAAATTAAGTTTTCTAAATGCAAAACTCAATTACTATTTCACATATGTATGAATACAAATATGAAGCCACAGTAGGCACATAACTCACAAACAAGCTTATTGCATTTCTAGTCCTATGATGATATTGAGTTAATAATATTAGTGAGTGCGAATCGTTGTCTGTGTAAATTGTGAGAGTATCATTCATCTTTGATAAATAAGCTCTGAGCCTTTTCAAAGTTGAAGAGAAAACAAGATGGATTGAAATGTATTTTGGGAGTGCGTATATGTCATGTATAAAACATCATCATTATCATCAACATTATAATCATTGGAGATTGTTATCTTTCTTAATTTGCATTCTAATATCCTTTTTTACTCATTCATGAATCAATATTCGACATGGTGTTGGCTATAATAAAACGAATAGTATCACGAATTGCAAAAATCAGATGCTTTGGGATGATAAAATACAGGGGTTGGAGCGAATTTAATTTGCGGTGATTTTTGAATTGATTTTTATTTCAATAACGCGAGGTGAATTTTGTGGTGAGTTTTGTGGTGAATTTGGTGAGTTTTTTGGTAAATTTTGTGGTGAAATAGATGAGTTTTATGATGAATTTGGTTAGTTTTTTGGTAAATTAGGTGAATTTTTGGCTAATAGGGTGAGTTTTGTGGTGAATTAGGCAAATTTTGTGGTGAATTAGGCATAATTTTGTGGTGAAATAGATGAGCTTTGTGGTGAATTAGGTAAATTTTTGGTGAATGAGTTTTGTGGTGAATTTGATTAGTTTTGAGATAAATTTTGTATTATGATCCAAACTTGTTCAGTTTGATTGCCAATCATCTTCAAACTCATGTAAGCACTCCGACCCTGATACGAATTTTGTAAATAATGGTTCAAGTGCCGAGGGTGGCACTGGGTGAAATTGAGAAACATAATCATGAATTGCATTATACACACATCACATAGAATTTCAATTTATGTATACTTATGGGAATAATGCATTGATGTGGTGCTGTTTCTATTGCTACTTCTTCATCACTGTTTATAATGCTGTTGAAACCTAAAATTGAAACTTGGGTCTCACGTTTTAGTAGAAATGAGGAAGAAAATTCTTTTTTCGTCTTGAACTGAATTATGTGTTGTGTATTCAGTAAGTGCATACAATTGTGAATGTGCTGCAATTTTATTAGAAATTTTTTCTTCTTTCGTGTGTTGTTGCACATAATAGAGACGAACTTGTTATTTGCACTCGGAGGACTCATGATGATGTTGACGATAATGTTAATGTTGATATTTAAGCATCTCATTTGAAGGAACATGCATTTGACATTTATTTGAACATGCTAACAATCTCCTTCCTTTTTTCAATACTCTCTTGTGTGATTCTTTAACGTCTCTGAGCACATGAATTCATCATAATATAATACGGAGTAAGTCATACGTATCATGTAATTTGAGATATATTTAATCTCCCTTATGTGCTATATGAGGCAATTCAATTTTCATGATGATCATTATTGTATAAATATTAATCCATATTGATGATAAAAACAAGTCATTGAGATGAATATAATAGTTTATAATATTAATAATGCATATTTTATAGACATCACACTGAACTATGAATACACCATTGTAAAGAACTCAAGGAAGACGTGGAGAAAAATTCCCTTGACACATAAAATTAGTTTTTCACTTCTTTCAGTACAAATATTTGATCAGCTTTTCATGTCACTTTAATAACTTGAAGTGGTGGAAGAATGGTG